TCCTGCGCAAAGCTGCGCTTGATAAAGGGCAAGGGTGAAGGACGCAAGGCGAACATTTCTGTCAGTAGGCCAGTGGGGTGATTTTAGTTTTGTGCATTCTTGACAGGCCACGACGGCACTTCCTGTGTGTGGATGGGCGGACGCAGATTTCTGCTACCCCTTGAAGGCAATGTCAGTTTTTTTGCGGACTTATCAGTCTAGAATGTGAAGTCGTTTCTTTTGACAGGTTCCCATCAAGCCCTGCTCTCCTTTGGACTTGAAGGTGGCCTGTGTCTCAGACCTAAGGTTTACTTATTTGCCTGCAGTTGGATTTTGCCGGACAGCTTCTTTCTTCCCTCATAGGCACCAGCAGCACACAACACTAGAAAGTCCAACGCCGCAATTGACGGAAACTGTTTTTCCCATGATGCTGTGCTTGCGCGCACACATTAGTCCATCATGTCTATGGAAAGCGGAGCAAGGCCAGGCGAGGAAGACTTTGGAGAGGCGTCAATCATCCTGATTTTGTTCGATGCCTCCTTGTGTTGCATCATTCTGACCACGAACACATAGTCCTCCAAACTGCTCAAGCACATGGCCAGCATTCGGCCTATGACAGGACTGTCCAACTCATCATAAATGATATGTCGGCTTCGTTGGATGCTTTCCAGGCCCCGCCTCATTTCGTCCAGCACATTCCCAGGTCTAGGTCCATTCACAGAAATCAAGACGCGAGCGCTTACACTTTCGAGAATTCTCGGGAGGCCAGTTTCAATGTACTCAAATGAATCCAGAAACCTGCATCCTGCCAAGATGCGAAAGCGAAGCGTTGTCAATGCATCGGCCAATTCTCGCCTCGCTGGCGTAAGCTGGAATGTATCTCAGGGCCCCTATGGCAGCTTCCCGCACTCCTTGACCATCAAAATCCGCCCATTCAAGTCGGGCAGCCGCAGTGTCTGGAAGCCTCATAAAGATTTGCCTAGCCCACGAGCACACAAGCTGCGCATCTCTGCACGGATCCGCTGCCGTCATCACAAAGGGAACATGCAGTCTGCTATGATGATTTATGTGCCAAGACTTGCTTTCAACTTTCTATGCCAAATCGCATACCATGCGAGCACACATCAGATGGGACACACACTTGGACCTCTGCTGCCGCAGCATGTTTGCAACATGAGGTCTCTCGCCAGAAGGGGGGCGAGAAGAAAAATGGAGCAGTGCTCTTCACTGGAAAGCGGGTCTTCAAGAGTTGGTCCTGCATTCGCCCAAGCCTCAGATTCATGTCTTCTGCAAAGTGTTTCTTCTAGGTTTGCCAGCTTGACATGCCAGGTGTCTTTGGGGCCACCACAAGGGTCGCCAAAACAGGTGTGACCACCAGGGGAATTAGTGCCTGGGGCCTCAGATTCCAGCTTGGCAACAGTGGGAGCCAGTACTTTGTTGTTGGCCAGGATGCAGAGTGCAGAAGACTTGCATAGTACAAGGTAGTTACGTTGGAAGCGTGCGACATGACCTGAGGACCTCGCGAACCAGATCGCCTTTTCCGAGAAGTACAAGGCAGCAGGTGGGGTCCACCGCCCGTACCTCGCCGTGGCGACGGCGGAGTGGTTCTCAGGTGCGTGACTAGAGTCGGCGGGTTTTTCTGTTGCCTGGACCTCGGCAGGATTGCCTTCTGGCTGGACAAAGGCGACAGTTGGAGCCGTGAAGCCAGGAATGCTGGCGCAGCACTTGCCACAGCACTTGAAGGCTGGGGATGATCGTGCTGTCAGGTGTAATATATTAAAACTTGATAAAACTTGCTTTCGCAGGTTGATGACCCCGTGCCCTGCATCTCTCTGTTCACGGGAGTTGGTGGGCTCGAGCTTGGCTTGCATCCGTCTAGTCCTCGGCATACTGTTACATAAATCCACTATTCTTTGCTGAATCTGACACTGAAAGCTTTGTCTGACATTCCTTGCAGGCTCGAGTGCACAATTTAAGCTTGCGTCAAAATCCCCTCTCGCCCATATGGAAAGCTGCTATGATTTCAAGACTGTGTCAACCGTGGGCGTGAACCAGATCAGGCCTGGCTCTTGGCCATCTTTCTTTGCTGGTCATGACAACATGCTCACTGTCATGACGTTGCTGCATGTGCACTACTCGATGGGTCAGCCCAGGGTGGAAGCTGGAGCTATGATTTGGTGTCGATGGAAGGGGGAACTGCAGCCAACTCAGCATCTGTCTTGCAGCATTGATTTTTTGACTTGCGTCGTAGACTTTAAGCTTTAAATCCCTGGTCTGATTCATAAAAGCATTCTTCCGATTGAGAAATAACGTTCCACTTCTGAGGTGGGTCTGGGACTATGACACGAAAGCATGGACAGCCAGTTCTGCCGAGGAGCTTGGGCTGAAGGCGGGCGGTGCTTCTTCTATAGCGCAGTGCGCCCGACATGATTCCTTTCCTGGAAGGACGATCCCGAGAAGAAGCGTGAGGCCTCAGGCGTGGACAATGATTCTGCCACGAAGCGCCGGCGTTGAAATAAAAAACATGGACCAACTTTGCGCTGCTGCAGAATGAGTCTATTGATTCCATTGCACACCATGCGGACATTTCTTTCTGATTGCTTCCGTGCTGAAAGCTGATGGGCCTAGGTGGTTTCGTCCTTTGGAGATGGCTTGGTGCTGAGTGCCCTGCTGACTGACTCAGCTCTGTTCGTACTTAATGCAAATGCGGCCTCACGGCAAGGTGGAAGCAGATGCTGATTGCAGAAGCGTATTGCTGGCCAGGATGGCCGAAGGGAACCTGCCAGAATGCAAGATATTCCCTGATGTTCGTTGCTACACCCCCTCCCCAGCCGCTGCTCGGGCGCGTGCTGTGCTGGCGGGTTTCCCGTGCCAGGCTGGGTTCACTCACATTGACAGTGTGTGTCTTGAATGGGTGCAACTCGTCATGCGAAACATGCTCTGGTCAGGGCGTCTCCTCCGCGGGATCTCAGCAAGGAATGGAGGACGACAGATCCTCACTCATCAAGAGCGCGTGGGAATGCTTCGATTCCTTGAGCCAAGGGTGCCTTGACTTCGGGTTGGTGCCAACATGCAGTCATGTAGTCTTGTTTCAATGTGTCCGTCGTTGCAGGCAGGTGATGGTTATCGAGAACGTGGCTGCTCTTTTGAGCAAGCAGGCCAGCTGCAGGGATGTTTTCAACTACATCCACCAGGCAGGGGCACATGAGCTCGGATGTGAATTTATTCCCGAGTCGCCTGATCCAGGCGGCTGTGAAGAGGAGCATGAATTTGCACTGGTGCAGCTTGCGGCTTTCGCATGTGGGACTACCAGCGGGGGTCTCGTGCGTTCACGCTCTGGCATGCATAAGGGTTTTTTACGAATAGTTACAGAAATGATTTCGTCTTTGAATCTCTTTGGCATTTCACTGAAGTTCTTGGGCAGCATGTTTCGCGGCTGGCTCAGAGTCTTTTGGGGACCGGTCCCAGGCCGTGGCAAAGGGTCTGGATTCTGTGGGGAGCATGCTTGCACGGTTTGAAGTCCGTGATTGCTCATTCAGAACGAAGAATAAGCAACAAGCATGATAGTAGCTTGGTCCCAGGGCCTTTGCGTAACTCAGCCAGGGCATTGAAGTGGGATGTTGGTGGCTGCCGCAATTCTGTGCTTCATTGTGCTTCATCAATCTCCTTGGTCGCTTCCTAGGTTTGAATTTTCTATGTAATATTAAGCATTGAAGGCATCTTGGTTTAAGATCGAGGGAGTAGGTCCTCGAGCAAGGATTGGGTTCTCCAGGCTCATTCATGCCAATTGTTGGCCGAGGCGTGCAGGCGCAGGGTGTTCCTCATTGCGATTCGCCGAGGATATGAGAACAATATCCTGCAGGCTGGGCCTCGGGTAGTTCCTGTGATTCCCTTCTTCCATTGCCTTCGCCTGTCCACGGATCAGCTGCAAGGACGTGTTCGACTTCGGCTACTTCACAGCCAAGCGTTGGAACCCCGCCGCCGAGTTGCCGATGAAGGATTGGCTTTCCGACAGCAGAAGCGCGCAGGACGAAGCTCGCCTTCGCATGTGCGGGAACATCGTGGTGCCATTTCAGGCGGCCCTGGCCATGAGTGGGCTGAAGCAAGGCCTGAACGCGTCCCGTGGGTAGCTGCAAGCCTCTTCTGCCTGTGGGAAGCTGTTGCTTCTTTTACTTCCTGAGGACCTACTGGGTGGGTTTGCCCACCGTTGTGATATGTCTGAAAACAATTCGTGTAATTCGCTGGGATCCCCAAGTGTCTGCTGCGACCTGCGCCTCCAAAAAGTTGGACAAGCCAAGCAGTATGAGCGTGCCATATGCGCTTGGCTTCGACATGTTAGTGCCTGACTCAAGCTCATGGCATGGGCGACGTTCTGCCGCCAGTGCTCGTGCTCAGTGATGTAGAGGCCGAAGAGTGTTTTGAATCATTGTTTCGCATGCGTGGGCCTCTTTGTGCCCGCAGTGCTTGGCTAGGACGCTGTGTCATGTGAAGCAGCTGAATCTTCCCCGCGCTCTCGGCCGAGAAAGAGAAAGCGGAACAGCCGGGCTGTCTGGGAGGAAAAGTTCTGCAGCGAGAAGACTTTAAGTGTGCTTACACGCAGAAGGTGCAATCGAACGTGCCGGAAGAATTGCCTCCTCCAATTCCGGCCTCCTAAAGAAAGAAATGATCTTAAAGCGTTCAGAAAAGAGTGGTGCGCGCTGCACAAGCTGGATCAGGACATGGTGGTCACTCGTCTTGTTGAATAATCATGTCAGACTTGTCCTTTGAAGTGGTAGCACAGCCAGCATTGTTAATTGCAATGTACCAGGTACTCCAGAGAATGAAGGAGATGATGAGTGTGTCCACCGCACGTGGAGACGCTCGATTGGCCTGGAAATTTCTGGGGCGACCAGTGTGTTTCCGCGGTTTCATGATGCTGCATGGGCTCGGCACTTTTGGCATGCATTCAGGTTTGGCCGTTTGTGCTTTACATTGTGGTTGTCGAGGAGTGGGTCACTGCAAGCAGCTGTTGCTTTCGGTACATGTCTCTCAACCTAGGTGCGACGAGATCTTCAAAGTTGGCAAGTGCTGCCAGAAAAGGGAAGTATGCGCCCCCGGCGGATCTCCGGTTTCTCAAAAAGCCCTTCGTTGGAAACACGGCTGAGAAGACGGCTGTCCGATCTGAGATTCTTTCCTTCTTGCAAGGTCTATATGAGTCTGTAGCCGAGACCTTGCCAGATATCAGGGATGACACTGAACCGGATGATGCCAGTGTGCAGGTTTTCCTGCACGCAGAGAGCGCAGAGCAGGACGAGTATGCGTCTGCTCTGAATGGAGCACAGCCGAATCATGAGCTGGAATCCCAGGTGAAGCCTCTGAGCAAGCAGAGCAAGCCTAGAAAGAAAAAGAAATCGGTGGTCATTCAACGCTCACACCAGGAGATCAGGTACCTTCCCCCAGGCACGCTGAAGGAATATTGGCATCAGCTGAACATGATGCGAGAGCCGCCTCTGAAGAAGATTGCCTTCAGCTACTTTTGGAGAGCAGCGCCGCTTGAATATCACGCAGCATGTCTTGTTGTGTGTGTGTATGACTTTCACGCTTGGCCTGGGCTGCCGAGGTTTGGTATGAGGAGTTCTCGCACATGAAGTTCCGCCGCCAATCCAATCATTCGGTGTGCAATGTGTGTCTGAGACACAAGATGCTTTTGCAGGAACTATCTGGCCATCTGAATGCGAGAAAGGGCCAATTGGAGAAGTACACGGACCACTTGAAGAGCCAATACGAAGATCGCTTGGCATATTGGGCTCTGAGAGGAGAGAGCCGTCTTCGCGGGAAGCAGCAAGTGACATTGATAATCGATTCAATGGACCAGGCGAAATTCTCCCTGCCTCGCGGCTCATTCATGAAGAGCAAAGATCCTTGGATTGTTGCTTTCCGACATGTTGTTGTATTGTGCTTGGCTTGTGAATCTTGTCCGGCATTCATGTGTGCGCATTAAGCATGACTGAGGACCTGTCAACAATGAATCGCCCACGATGTCATTTGACAGCTATACTCATTCATGGCTATGCGACGCTGGTATATCTGAGTGACCACGACCAGCCGAAGAACTCCTCCACTATGATAGAGCTCACTTCGCACGCCTTGACCATTCTGGAGAAGGAATGCAGACTTGATTTGGCGAAGGTCCGCCTGAATATTCAGGCGGACAACACAGTCCGAGAGATGAAAAACAACCCATATCTCAAGTGGATGTCCAGTTTGGTGTCCTCAGGTCCGGGTTGCAGGGTTCTTCTGGGTTGGGGGTCTACCGTTTCGGGTTGATTTGCCAGTTTACGGGTTTGGGGTTTAGGGTCGGGGACTTTAGGCTAGATGATGCACACAGTTTCTTCCGTGTCATGAGGATTGTTTCCTGTCAGGAAGATTGATGGAATGCTCGCTCCGTAACCTACGGAGCGGGCATAGCCACGAGGACGTCGATCAGTTCTTCGGCTCCCTCGCGACTTACATGGTCAAGCATGCTCGCCATTGCGAGACTGCCGGGGACGTGCTGCAGGTTGTCCAGGCGTTTTTGGATCAGGTGCCACGACCGTATGAGCCATTGAGGCGAGCCTTCAAGGTAGATGCTGTTCGGGATTGGTGTCTCGCCCAACGTCATGCTATTATGTTGCCTTCGTGCCTTGTGTCTTCTGTGCTGTTCTGAAGCGCATTGTCTGCAAGCAAGGAAAGGTTTTCTCTCCGAAGCTGTGCCCATCATGGTGACTGGTCTTGCCGGACCCGGAGCGCCGCACACTTTCGAGATGTGCCGCCGAGAGAGCTTGAGCTGGGGACTTGAAATGACGAAGGTTGACGAAGCCTAGGATCCGTAATGCTGACTGGGGCAGTGCACTGAGGCACAGACGATCTGGAAAAGGTAGATGAATCCTATTGGAAAAATGTGGAAGCAATGCCGCAGGATGTCATTCTCAGGCGGATGCATGCCCGTTTCTGGTCTGTTCCTGCTGAGTATTTATCCTTCACATCACGGCCTGGGCAGGTGCAAGCAGTACATGGCAAGCAGCACATATCGAGTGGCGCTGCTTTACTATCCCCGAAGAGTGGCTCTCGCGCGGCATCCTTTGGGCCTGCCGGCTGGCTCCTGGTCTGCATGGTTTGGTTTTGTTTAGGCTGCTGCTGCGAGGCATTCTTTTTCAACACTTCCTGAGGTTTGATTGCTCGCAATCCACTTGGGGACGATTATAAGGACCATCTGTCCAAATATCTTCCCGTCTTGCGCAGCTACAAGATGGAACGGGCCGCTGACTACTTGGAGTCCTGGATGCGTGGCACCCTGGATGACGCGCCGCTACTGGATGTGTCTGCGCGGCTTGGCTGCATGAGCAAGGCTAGCGGCATGGATGCATCAAGTGTTTGGACATGACTCTCCAATTTCCGACCCAGATGCACTGCAGCTGCTAAGATGAATTTTAAATATTTGAGGTGCTCGGTGACAAGTGGACCCCATGCTGTCGACGCAGATCTTGCCCGAGTCCAGAGTTTTGAAAGTGCTTCCAATCCGGTGCGGCTACTTGGCTGCCCATTCGCGTGCCTGGCACTTGCATGCCTGCATGTTTCTTTTCTCGAACCCAATGCTAAACTGCTGTTGCCTCTTGCGGCGTGCGTTTTGAGAGATGTCCAGGTTGCAGCGGGGCAAGAATGACGCCAAGGATGCTGCGCACTACGTGCAGAGGTCCAAGGAACGTATCACGTATCAGGCTGCTGCCAATGCGTGGAGTCGTGGTGTGCCCTGGGCTGATGCACTGCCTCTAGCCCGACGTGCCATAGAGAAAGCTTCAGCGAAGCCCAAGGCGATCCCAAAGGGAAAAGCTAGGGCGCGTGTGTAACCACTCCTGTTGTGAACTCACGTACTGCAACATTCTGTAAAGTTGGAGTCTCTGTTGGCCAAGCAGAACGGGAGGCGGCAAGGGTTTCTTATCGACAGCTTATCAGAAGCTCTTAGCAGATCAATGTGAACTTGGTGGAGATTTCGGCCAAACTGCTGTCTGCGGCAAAAAACAGCTTGTCACGGAAACGGTGATATCGCTCTTTTCAAGGACCGTTGTGCCTTTTCTCACATGGATCCGTGGCATGAAATCCAGATTTTTTATTTTGGGGCCAATTTTCGCCACGAGCGCAAAAACATGAAAAAAATGGGGTGCGGCATGGACGTTCCTAGGCAGCCTGGTGGTGGGAGCGATCGATATTGGACACGTATGCCTATCACGGGCCAGTACCCCTGCAAGTGTCGAAAGCAATATTGCTTTGGACACGTGCTGCTAGTTTCGGTCAGGTTTTGGACGAAAACCCGAGCGCGGCCACGTGCCGCAAGTTGAGAAATCCAGGCCGCNNACCTGCGGCCTCCTTTTTTTACCCCTGCCGTAGGTGTCGGATTTTGGGCCCGCCGCCGGGAAATATTGGACACATATGATGCTTGAGATTTGAAATTCTAGATTTATTCCGGCCTTAGGTGTCGGATTTTCGCTGTCCGCCGCGGCAAAAATGGACACATAGACATGGAATCGGGAATCCTTTTTTTCTTCCATGCTTGTGTGTCGGATTTTGGCCCTCCGCCGCTCCCACGTACTACGCATGCTGTCTGTCTCTGTAGCAGCAACATGATGCGAAGCTTTCTTGTGGCAAGTGCTGAAGTGAGAGAAGCAGCAGTGCTCCTGCATCAGTGCCTTGCCAGATGATGTTCCGAATGTCTGACACGCTACTCTCAAGGCATTTGACCTGCTTCTGTGAAAGCTGCTTCGGCATCGCACTTGCGCGCCCTTGCAAGTAGCTCCCCGGCATGAGCCAGGTTCCGAAAAAACGCAAATCGGGCCAGGCTGACAAGGAAGCTCCTAAAAAGGGCCGTGGAAAGGGCGGCAAGCCAGCCGCTGTGGTGGATCGTCCCGAGTATGTGGAGAAGCTTGTTTCCTGGCGACTTCTTCTGCATTTCAAGTGAATTAGGAGGTCTGCTGTTTCCACATGTGCACAAGTCAAAAGCCACTGCCATGCAGCATCACAGGTGCTGTTATTGTGACACAAATGTGACCGAGACGGTCGAATGAACAGCAATCAAGGATTAGTTCAGAAAACCTTTGAGAGTCCATGTTGACCTTGGCTCAGGTTCCGTGAGCACGTGACGCCTTGTGGTGGCCCGGACCGATATCTGCAGAAGCGCTACAGC